TTGACTGGCGGCCATTTTGTTTTTCATGGTACCCATGCTACTTTCTCTTGAATGCCATGAACGTTTCTGTTTAAATTTAGTACAAAGATAGTATACCAAGAGATACATCTGCACCAACATGATTTTTGTGATTCAATTCAATATGGCTGGCCGACGCCCAAACTTCATGTAAAAGTGCTAAATCATCATTTTTACATGTCCGAGACTGTTTCTCAGAGATGACTAGACCAATTTGGATCAAAGTTGGTATGATGATCATACATATTGGGTTATAGTAAGTTGCATGTCATATTTTTTCTGTGAATCAAACTAATATGGTCGACTGGTGGCCATTTTGTTTTTCATGATACCCATGCCTACTTTCCCATGAATGCAATGAACATTTCTTTTTAAATTTTGTACAAAGACAGTATACCAATAGATACATCAACATGAACATTATTTTTGTAATTTGATTCAATATGACTGCCCAATGTCGAAATCTCGTGTAAAAGCACTAAATTTTTTACAAATCCATCTTCTATTAATGGTTTCTATCTAATCTCAATGATTTCATCAGCATCAAATTAGTATGTCAGATCACAAAATTTTGGACGGGGACTGTGTCATTAAAAATGACTTGTCTACTTTTATTTGGTTTGTAGATAAATGTAATTGATAATTGAAGGTTGGTAATCATTGTACAGTGCTTGTTCAAATTTTGTGTAAAAAAATATATATTTTATATGTGTTGTGTAAGTCACTATAGAAAATTTACAGAGTTGCAGTAAAACATACTGTGAAATTGATTCATATAGTGCACCCTCTACAGTTCATTGTGATTTTTCTTTTCTTTTTTTGCACTGTAATAATTTGTTGTTGATCATTAGACAGTTACTCTCGTGGAAACAAGGGTTTCCTTTCATCCTTATAAATGTTAATAAAATTCAATGGTAGTTGAATCAAACCAGCCAATCGGGGGGAACATGCACATCCAACATCATTTGAAAACGTTTCAGTTCCTGTTTCAGTTAAAATTGTTAATTTTATAAATACTTAATCTTTATAAATAAAGATAAAGAGAATGCCTTTGTTGCACCAAGAGTATGAACCAGTCTTGTAAAAAGATATCAGTGTATAATCCTTTTGCTTCATTACAGATATTATATGGAAAAGACGCAGCCGTCATACATGGAATGGAAACAGCACTACAACTACAATTTGATAGGAATTGTGACAAGAAACAGCCCAAAATTTGGCCCACTATTCCATTGAAATTTTAGGCAAATACTTTAAGATGTCTGTTGTGAAATAATAAAAACATAGTTTGTGATAATAAAGCACCTTCTGTCTCATTAATATAATTTAGGCCACACTGATTTAATTTTATGGATGACATCCTCTGGAGACTCCCAAAACTAATGCGAGCAGGCGAAAAAAATTAAATCCTGCCAAAAAAAAAAATCCTGTTGATATACACATCTCATACTGTATTACTGTCACAGGTATAACCATTTCAGACAAGCTCAAGTACATGTAGTCATGATGAAGTACCTTCAGTCAGAAACACTGCATTCAAGGTACAGCATGAACACCATTTTCAGTACAAGTCAAGGCGGAATGTACATATCACTACTTTATGACAATAACTAACAAAACATTGCAATGATACAGAAATGTCTATGCGTGCTCCTTTCTACACAGTAGGTGTTAGCTTTAACCAATCTCTCGTATAGCTGTGTAAACGTCACATCTCCCTGGCCGACGTCAATTGCATACCAGTCTACAACAATCCCTATGTTTTTCCTCTGAACGCAATACGCATGTGCAAAAGATCATTTACGACAAAATTGGCACGTTTTTAGGTAGTCCAAAAAGAGTTTAACGACAAGCTGGCGCCTCAGGACAATATGAGTCAGCAAGTTCCGGACTGAAAACAGATCTGTAGAGACTCATCGTTGGGGATTTTTTTTTTTTTTTTTTGAGAACAGGTGAAAACTAATGCACGTGCAGATGTAATCCATAAAATTAAGTCGGTATGGCCTTAGTTGAATGTAAAATATAGGAAAAAAAGTATATTCGCTGGATTTTATTTTCACTGAATCATATAAGCTAATTATTTATTCTGAGTATGCTCAGTTGTTCTGTCAGTGGTGTTGGGAGAGGTAATTTTGGATGAAAATCATGAAAAAGACCCACTTAGGATTTTCATATCTGAAAAAAAAATTATGTGCATATTCGGCAGAGACTTATTCATCAACCTGCCAAGTTTCATCGATATCTGCTGCAGAATTTCTGAGAAAATGTTAAAGACATCACAGATGAAAACTGGAAATAAATAATACTGAAACGGGGATTAACTAAATAGGTAATCAGTTGTTCTGATCTTACAACATCCAGAGCAATCTCATGACAAAATCTCAATGGTTAGAGCAAATGGACATGCATTGCAACTGACTACAAATCTGGATCAAATCTACTAACAGATGCAACAAAAAAAGAAAGATATCCATATACTGTAGAATACTTTTTTTCGCTTGGAATTTATTTTCGCTGAAGGGATGTTTCCGTGAAAATAAAATCCAGCGAATATACTTTTTTTCCTATATTTCACATTAAACTCATCAAAAATCGGTGAAAATAAATTCCACACAAAACGCCCAAAAAGCCTTTTCAGCGAAAATTAATTCCAGCGAAAATAAAGTATTTCACAGTACTTCAAATACCACCCCCTGCACCACATCGTATACACCTGTTATATAATGTAGGACGGAATGCAAACATGGTGCCTTATAGTGCACCGTTAGGTCACATTAGTTAGTAGATGACATTCAAAATTACACAGGTCATTTATAAAACTTCATTGAGCTCTTGGGTTTATTGTGTGATGTATTTACCAGTATATAATATGAATGTGAGAAATTGTTTAGAATTTGCTGTTGTTCTGTAAAGCAGACTAAAAAATTCGAAACAGAGGCAATCTTTATGAATTTGTATGTGACATAACACTATTGACAAACTTTAGCAAATGAAAATCTATTGATCGAAATGGAAGCCATCACCGTGACAACTGTGCGTTTCAAATTTTGTTATATTGCCCTCTTGTGTCTGAGTGAAGATGTGTTAGTGATGTCTGCCGTAGTGGGCGTTTGATCAACGTTGATCCAAACTGCTCAGCGGAATATCTTAAACAGCAAATTGAATTATTCTCAAACTACGCACAATATCATATCAACTTAATGTGTATACAGAACGGCGGAGGTGTATCTATGGGGTTTTAACACTAGGACGTGAACGATAGTTACTTTCGCTATAAAATTGAGTCACTTGCTGACACAAAGTTGTTTCAGCTTGATTGGGGGGGGGGGGGGGCAAACACCCGCCGCCGCCACTGTTCAATAAAATATATTTAGTTCGTGAAATGATATACATTGTTTGCACGTTGGATGTTTCGGAAGGGGGTAGGGGTCTTGGCGTGAGTCTCACCTATGAGCAAGTGCCCCCGTAGCCACGTATTATGTATTCGATAATCTGGCTATACAGGTATAATGTGCACATAATGCATGCTTTATCTACCTCTGGGGCATGCTCCTCTTTAAAAAAATTGAAATCTACACCCTCTGGAACGCTATATCCTGCATTTTGAGGGGGAAATTTAGCTGAACCTCTGCCCCCTCCCTACGCAAATGCTCGAGTTTTTTGATTTTCACTTACAGGGCACATACAACTTCATACGTCAAATGCTACAAACAAAACATATACCATAATATAACTTTAAAAGATACAGAAATTTCATTTCATATAAGTGCGCCCGAAAATGTGCATGCTAAGTATGCATCAATTACAGAACATTCTTGGGTATATTCATTCAAACTCTCACTAAAAATCTAGACTAGACTAGACTAGACTTTTCTGTCAAATCACGCAGTAAAGCAGTGAATATGTTATGACATCCTTGCTGCGAATGGGGTTACATGTCATATAATTTGATTTAGAGTTAAAAGTTAAAACAAAAGACCGATGCAGAGTATTGAACAAATCACAGTACTCCATGAATTAATCAACAAGTGAAGAAACAATTAACGGTATGACACGTGGATGTGAATAACATACTAGTGTTACCAGGGAAAAGGGCCCTGCAATAATTACTGTGGTGTCAATGACCTGGACAACAAACCCAGTTTTTTCTCCTACTTGACTTCGAATCAAATTCAGTTACGATTACATATTACATGAGGGATGTTGTTCTTTTTTTTCTGGTCCAGTAGGATAACTGACGGGTATAGTCATTATCGATATTCTCCAAAAGTTATGGATGAAATTAGATCATTAGATCATGATTGCGTTAAGCATGGCGTGACTGCTACACGGATTGGCATAAGGTCGTACTTCCATGTCATACATGCCAATGTGCGGGAAATGCAATTAGAATATGCGGTTACCACTTATACTTGAGATTTAAACATAACCAAAGTATACATCCAATAAATAAAAAAGTCGCAAACCGTACAACTAGCAATGAAAAAAAGGCCCGCCCATAAAGAAAATTGAATACTGTAAAACCATTTATTTGAATTCAGGGGCATTTAATTGTATTATAATTTTTATGTTTGAGCTTTTCCCTAGGTTTTAAAATTTGACAAAAAAGATAAAAAGTTTTGTTGTTGTTTTACATGCTCGCGTAGATTTATTTTTTAATTTAACTAGCGGTTTTCATTTATCAGTGAAAATAGTTGAATTAAACCCCATTGAATGTGTAATGCCTTAACAATAAAAATAGTCATGTAAATAAGGTTTATGAAAATGTTGTAGTAAATAACATGAACTGTGAGAAAATATCACATACCTTGAACAACTATGAGAGTTTGTGTACAACAGTGGCCGTGTGGAAAATAGGTATACATTTTGAATGTGGCACTTTTTATTTCAACAATGCTTCAAATCCTAAACAATATAAAAAAAAAACTTGCAAAATACGGACATCTGAAGTATCTCATGCCATTCTGGCAAGACAAATGTAAATGGTATCTCTGCATTCTAAACTTGAATTGAAGGGTCTACCAATCTGTCTTCTCCCCTCACTTTAATTCAATTTACAGCAATAAATCGCTCCCACTATTATTTTCCAATGACTACGTGTATTTTCTCTGACTTTTTTTTTTACCGTGAATACCTAAAGCTCGTCCACCACATCAAGGTGGTCAGACGAGGCTCGTTATTGTCTGCGAAGAGATTTGGTGGTAGACGAAATAGGATTTTTATTTCTTAACGGAATCAATCAGTGATTTATCATTTAATTTATTTCGCGGGAGATTGCGAGAAATGTTGATAGTGTCATAGACCTCGTATCTGGATTCTAAGAAAATACAAACAATAATGGGACATTTTAACACGCGACTGTCAACTTGGCGCAAATGTAACACGTTCTCGGTACGACTTGTAATAATGTGCGACCAACACGTGCATGGTATGTTCATGGCGTCAACACCCGTATGTGAAAATTATTTCCATAATTGTCTGTCACGTTTAATGGCCGCTGTTAACAGTGCTCTCTTCTATGGAAATGTCTGATGATATCGTTAAAGATGTAATCCCTTCTCTGTGCACCAATGTCTAAATGTATATTTTTTAGCCAAAATGTAAAGCCGGCATTATAATGAGAAAGAGTGCCAAATGATTGCACACTTAAACGCTAGCAGTGATCACGGATTCATGGTCACATAAATAGATAGATCGAGGGAAGCACGCGCAACATGTCCCGATCGTAGTTCCCCGGTATCAAAAAATCGGCATCTAGTGTGTCCCGTGCGTAGTCCCAATTACAATACGGTAACACACTCAGAATCCAGCATAATCGATTTTGTAGCTCTTTGTCAGAGAAGTAAGACGCAGTGCTGACATTTCTGAAGAATGTCTGAAGACGAAAAGTTTAAAAATTTACATAGTAAAATATACTAAATGAGTTTACCTCCATGCATGAACCGGGGGGGCATACAGAGGGCCATACCTCAGTACAGTTGTATAAAGCTTGTGGCAAATAGCGCCTGTCAAAAGCTGGCAATCATAAGTTTGCCAATCTTATGGTAGGTTACGTGTGCAATTTAACATTTATTGATAACGCATAACCTCAAATATGATCAAATAAAAGATACTACTTAAAAATGAAAATCAAACACCAATTAAATTAATAAACTTGTTTTCCATTGGTATGAACTTATCTTTAATTTATGGAAATTGTCTCAATTTACATATTTGTGAGAATTAACCATTTGTCCGTCTGCTAGTATGTGATTGTATTGTACCTTTATTTTCAATCTATTGTGTTTCTGATCTAGTTTCCAATTCTCCCCACTCTAACAAGTCACGTGATAACTACTATTTGCGCCCCCTGCAGAGCTAGCTAGCTCCATGCTAAACTTCAACGCGACGGCGTAGTGGGATCCGTTGAGAATTCTGAGCAGCGAGTTTACGCATTGGGTGTACCAGAATTTCTTGCCCAAATATCAACGACAACATCCAATACGACTGGAGAATAGTGGATCTACCAGATAATGTGAATTTACTGCGTCGCCTCGACTCTCTGTGTCGGGAAAATTGATTCGTTTTGCTTGTTGTCGTCAGCGGCGTCCGATCCCAGTGCCACCAACCATGGTGAGTTGAAAGGTTTACCGAATGAATACAAACACAAAGCGTTGTAGTTTTACAACAACTACATTACTACTACTGGTGAGACTCTGTGGGACCTACGCTTGATTCCGACGGAAACCAACGATCCTGTTTCGGTATGAGTGTGTGACTATATCATTGTGAAAGGACTTCATAAATGCAGCTGGACGTCAGTGTTTTGTGTAAGTTCGATCGCGGTCGGCGATTCATCAGCTGGGCGGACTGACCGCTGGTCAGATATCAACAACCCGGCCGTCTGGTTCATCTGTACTATAAAAATGAAATCGGATCGTTATATTACTTGTAAATGGAGGACTCCCATCAAAATGTGGCTTGTTATTTGTATTGTGTTGTTGCATTCACCTTTTTTAAGTGCCGATACAACGCAGAGTCTGATATTCGTAACGCAAGAGGGACAAGCACCTGGGACGTTGATAGGTGACGTTGCAACGATGTATGAAGAGACTTATGGTGAAATCGTCGAAGGGCCATTCTTTTTATCACCGGCATCTCCAACAGTTTTAGAGCATTTACAAATTGGGGATGACGGGGAAATTAGAACTAAAATAATTTTAGATAGAGAGAACGAAGACTCGTACGACTTCATTGCTATCACGATGACCACTTCAATTGTAATTTCTGTACAGGTTTTAGTGACAGACGCAAACGATAACCCACCCCGCTTTACACACGAAGTTTCTTACATTGAAATTTCGGAAGCTACTCCAATAGGGGCGAAAAGATCCATCGATGAAGCCCGGGATGCGGATGAAGGAATTTTTGCAACACAAACATATGAAATTGTATCGGGCAATGTGGATAGTGCTTTTCGATTAGATTTTCGAGAAGGCGGAGGTGTCCGAGACCGAGTTCTGTATTTGGATCTTGTTGTGAATAATTATTTGGATCGGGAGACTATTCCACGGTATGAGCTTGTCATACACGCTATTGACGGAGGTGTGCCGGCCAAAACTGGCAGCACTCTGCTGAATGTTACAATCACGGATGCAAACGATAATCAACCAGTTTTTAACCAGAGTCGGTACTCCGCGAGAATTGCGGAAACAGCCTCGGTTGGAAGAAGTATACTTCAGGTACATGCTACAGATATTGATGAGGGTTCAAATGGAGCTGTTAGCTATGACATAAACAGAAGACAAAGTGACCCAGAGGAATATTTCAGAGTTAATTCCCAAACTGGAGTTTTATATCTGAACAAGGAATTAAATTATGAGGATAAATCGGTACATGAACTCATTATTGAGGCCAGAGACAATGGAACATATCCAGAGCGAAGTACAGCATTTGTGACTGTCCATGTGACAAACGTGAATGAAAATCCACCAAATGTGGAAATTTTGTTTCTTGGCAATGGTGGATTACCTTACGTTTCTGAAAATGCCATACCTGGTGATTACATCGCGAGGATTACTGTGATTGACCCAGACGAAGGAGAACTGACTAATGCCAGCATCAGTCTTGATGGAGGTGATGGCAAATTTGGAATTGAAGAGGTTGATAATATAATTTATTTAGTTTGTGTCGAGCAGCCATTGGACAGGGAGGAACAGTCTAGTTATGACATTAAAATTACTGCACAAGATCATGGGCTTCCACCTTTACGAACAGAAAAAATTGTGACAATTACTATTACTGATATCAATGATAATGCTCCTCATTTTGACCAAAGTGTCTACTATGCTTCGGTCATAGAAGTTGCGGACCCAGGTACATCAGTGTTCCAATTGGTTGGGTCAGACAGTGACGATAGTTCGAACGCCGACATAACATATCAAATCATTCACGTTCCAAACTCATTTTCAAACTGGTTCCAAGTTGATGCAGAGTCTGGACTTATTTCCACGGCAACTGAGATAGATCGCGAAATCAAACCTTCTGTAATGCTACACATCATGGCACAGGATGGTGGAAATCCTCCTCTGTCTACTAATGTAACTGTGATTGTTACCATACGAGATGTGAACGACAACGAACCAAGCTTTGATAACTCATTTTACAATGCTAGTGTTTTCGAAGACGTATCCACTGACTACTGTGTACTACAGGTTAGTCTGTTTATCCTTCTCGATCTGAGGCTAATATAAAGTGAAAAGTATTAGTCGCAGATGGGATAGGAATTACCTTCTAAGTACAATATATTTTGTTGATCCACATGATAACAGTAAATCACTAATCCACTATTTCGTAGGCAATCCTAGGTGGTTAGGGTGCTAAATTTAATTTCTACAGTTATGACTAACTTTGTAGTCATTGCAGACCTTTTCTAATTTTCTTAGCACTGAATATTTTCTTTGAAATTTACATTTCAAGTCCATGTGTTCAGTGTACAAGGATTATCATTCCTCAATGAATGCCCTGCCCAGAACACTTTTGAAAACCAGATTTTTAGAAAATCTGTACATGGAATCCTGTATTGTTAAAAAACTGGAACATCCAGATGGTTGCTTTCAGTTCTTAATTTGTAATAATCCCTGATAAAATTCCTGACATTCAGTTTATTTGTAAATTATTAGAATTAGTTTATAACATATGGGATTGGCCAGTATTAATTAATATTGGTATGTACATTCATGGTATATTTTGGTTTCAAAGTCACTTGATCTGACTAGTGGAAATTTATTGATACAGTGCGAACTAGTATAAATTAACGATTACTTCACATTAGTGTTGTGTTTCTAGTTTGATATCTGTAGAAAGTCTCTGTTACTGTTATCATCCTATAAAAAGTCTTCCATGATTGGTCTCAGATTATTAGATTTTCAATTGAGTACATGAAGCATAGATTTTATTTCTTATTTCGAAAACGTTCATGGATATAATAATAATATGTAATATCATCATGCAAACTAATTAGAACCCTGCGCTTCCCAAATGATGTTAAAAAACTGGTGTAAATTTCTTCAGTTGATAGAATAAAAAAATTATGAGGTTAATTTTAACAAGTAGTGGTGAAATACTTCAGTTTCTGAGATGAAGGAAATGACAAATTGACTCCATGAAATTGGCCTTCAAGTTCATTCTCTTCCCTGATTGTCAATTTTTGGAAATGGCAACCCACGATTAGTCTTTTTCCGAACTTGATACATAATGTAATGTTATACTTGAGTTTCACCATTGTTTTAATAGCTGTTCTATATTGAATACACAAAGCTCTTGAATTATGTGTAGTTGGCGTAAGACAAACAACTAGTGTCTGAACACAATTGCAGTCAGGACAGAGTGACAATTGGTACAGTGGCAAAGCTAACAATTTGACCTATTCACAAGGTTATAATGGTTTTTGTTAGAACTCTGAGAAAGTTGTTGAAACAAGTTAATTCTTTGACGTTGTCACAACACAACAAAACTGAAATAATATTGTTTACTCCACATCAAGGACTGAAAATCAACTTGCTTTTCAGACATTTTCACATTCATAGGCCAAATTCCTTCGCATTTGAGCATTTAACAACTATGGTATTCTGACGCTGGGATTCTTTTCATTATTAAATAGTTCAGACACCCAGGAAACCCCATAAAATCTACAGACATTACATTTGTTCAGGTGTCATCAAATACCTTGTGTTGTTCTATTTTAATTCTTTGACAAATTAAGGCAGGCTGTCTGACGCACTGAATCACGATATGATTAGAATATTTCTTTCTGAAAACCATTAATATTACTGCAATTTACAAAATCTATAACAAGCACTACATACAAGTTGAACAAGTTGTTGTGTAAGGACCTCTGAATAGCAACACATTTTTCATTGCTGGCCTCCATTGTCACTATTTGTTTAGTTCTGACAGCATAGTCGGTTAGTAGTTATTATGGCCGAGATACATGTATGGGAGCCAGCATAGCTGCCTGACAATTTTAAAGTATTTTTTTTTTAGCGACTGTAAATTTTTTAGTTTTCAAGTTGTTGGAAAAAATTGAAATGGAACCCACATACACATTGCACTTCTTGTTTGCAGGATCATTATTTTAGATACATCTCTCATTTATGCATGTATGCGCTACTAATAGAGCAAATATGGTAACTAAATAATTGTTATCATTGAAAGAATTGGCATTTAAATCAGTTTATTCTTATTCTGATCAAGTTGTTTAAAAAAAATTATATAGACACCCACAACATGTACGTAATTGTACATTGTACAAAGCAAGTAAAAGGTATTTTTGTGTTTGGGTATCCTAATTTCTTTTGAGTATAAAAGAAGATACAATGGCTTTGGGAAGAGCCAGTGATCGAAACACAAACAGGAATTGACCTGTAGTTGTGTTTTCAATGCTCTTATTGATTTTACAAACCAGCATTGGATTTTTGCATAAATACTTCTTTTCTAAGAGAATAGCCCCATGATACAGTGTGCATTGTTATGGGTGTTCTGTGAAGTTGTAAGGTTAGCTGAATGGGTGGGTTACTTTGGTGCTTTCTTTTCCCTACTGGTAAATATATATATGTTTAAAAGTATACGCTAAGTCATTAGGTTACATTGAAATGTGGCTTTTCTTCTCAATTTAATTAATTTGAATTAAATTAATTCAGGAGATATATTTTTAGTGATATTTTTACATACAAGTTAAAGAGTTAGTATGATTATATAACTTACCAGCATAATTGTGAATTAGACAAGGAGGTCAACTAATAATCTAATATTGTTATTTGTATATACAGAACTAAATTAATATTTATTAATGCTTTCATTTTTGGGTTCTTTAATAATACTTGGTGGTGGTCGATGGAAATCGTGACCCCTTTTCATGGGGGATGTTGTTGGCTTTTGGGTGTTAATGAAAAATATACCTCCATGGCTATTGCATCACCAACATTTGATGACTAGATGAGATGACTAGAATGCTGGCCTTGGAAATGAAATTCCCACTGCAAGAGTGTTCCATACTGATTTGTATAAATACCTGAATAATTTGAAAACATTGAAATCAGTAATTAACCTTGGTTACATTTTTACTACCTTCCTGGCTTTTATAATGTTGAGAGGAGAAAATGCTCGTAAACTTGTTCAGTGCAGTTGGAATTCGATAATGACAGTGCGTAGAGTTTTCAGGAATAAATAAACGACCTTAGTCAGGCTATTGTTCCTATAGTTGGACGACTATTAAATTTACTGAAGTATGAGCAGCCTTCTTTGCAGAACATGGCTTTTGTGCTTATCATCTTTAGCTGAGACTCAGTGGTGAAGTTTAACTAATGCAAGTAATGCTGA